AGAAAACATTCCGCAAATAATTCTTTAAAATGCAGCGAATCGACATTCCTTGACCGGGTATAAATTCGGATCTGTTCCAGTTATCTAGTCTCGACTGTGGAGGGAACAGAATAATAAATTCGTCTAGACGACGTCACGAAATGTTTAAACCTAAACTTATATTCCTTGAAATGTACACACTGGCTCAGTTTTCCTAACACATTTTGTTAATTTATAACTAAATTTTCTTTAACATATCAGGTCGAGGTGCTCGTACGTCGCATACCCTTCGGACGTGGCTACGCTATACGACGTGAGCGTGAGGGTCAGTGTTTGGGTCTGATACGCGATGGCAACACGGCCACCATTGTTGATGTAGTGCCAAATAGCTTAGCAGCAAGGCATGGACTGCCACCTAAGGTAAGCATGATCTTTCGCTAAGCATTTCTGTGTACTTTGTCCTTCATGCCTCTTACCACTCACTCACTCACATTCTAGGCACAATCCTGTGATGGCACAACACTTACATTCTGGGTACTTACTGAGATCAATGGGCGACCTTTGAATCTATTTTTCAAAGAAAATGAAATACGCGATCGTTTGAATTCCGTGGGACGTGACATCTCCATATTGGTGCAACCTTCAGACTTAATAACAAAACTTAAAAAACAATTGAAATCGCTACGTGGCTACAAGGATTATCTTGTTCAATAGTGAAATCATTAAAACACGTTGCAAATCAACTCATTAGTAATTTAAAAGACATTTTTGCAAAACAAACTACGAAAAGAATCACTTCCAAGTTATAAAAGAAAACTAATCTCTCAAACCTTCTTAATGCATATAACTTAAAATTAGATTTAAAATTGAAAAAGAAAACTATTATAAAATTGTAAGATAACAAACAACTGCCCAAATTTGCTTCAAAAGTAAATAGGGTAAGAAATGAAAAGTCGGTTTGCAGGAACATACTCAAGCAATCATATAGTGAAATTGTATGCCGTTCATTACAATAAGAAAAATATGAAACATTTAAAGTGAAGTCGATTAAAAATTAAAAAAATATATATAAACATTCCATTTATAAGAGACATTTTTATGCAAATTAGCCGAGTCAATTTAGCCATTAAGTAGCGTATAAAAAGTGATAAAGGACAACGTTCATACATACATATATCTATAATAAATATCTCTGTATGCATGTTCTATATACAAGTACATACACACATGCATACAAACATATGTATTTTTGCAACTTTGTAATCTCTTATTATCCTAGTGCATACTATTATATAGGTTGAAATTTATTGTATTAAGTACATATAAGTAAATTTTTGAAAAACTTAAAACTACTTAATATTATAATAACATACATGTATATGCTATGTACCGAAAAGAAAATTAACAACAAAAACATTTAGACAAAAATCGCATACGAAGAAATTAGTTCTTTAAAATAATGAAAAATTTCTATACCCATTGGAACATCTAAAAATTTCATGCAATATTATAGTGCCTGTAATTTTAGTTAATCGCATATGGACAACGTGATAAAACTTTTTTTGTAAACTTGATAACAAACATAATCACTTAATATTTTTAATTAACATGTTTTGTTTTACAATTTTGTGTTCGGATTTCAATAAAAAAGTATAATCAACATGAGACAAATATTTTTTTATTATTATCAGATTTAGAGCAAAACGAAGTTCAGTTACAGAAATGATTGTAAATTATTTCCTATATAAAATTATAAATTAGGGCGCACAGACAGTATTCTTTGCAGCTTCATAGACATTCTGTTTCCACACGCGGAAATTCACCATATTTGGATCAAGTGTGGAATAAATAAATATCGGCATTGAATTGGTCATCACCCAGATGTTGCCCTCATCATCAATCTACGAATTTTATAAGACACGTAAGGAAAAGATAAAAGGAGGAAACAATTAACACTCTCTAAAAATGTAAGAAATTACAATATATTGGGAGAAAAAATAATGGTAGGAACAAGTCATGATTCAATTATATAAGGTTGTGTCGATACGCAGCGTGCTACGAAAAAAGTGTCGGTATTCATAATATCAAAAAAACTGTTTTTTGTTATTACTATGAATTTTCTGTTTACAATTTGATGATTTACAATCTATTCGTATTCAGTTATCACTCAAAAAATTGCATTTCGGTGATTGTAATTTTTGAAAAATTTTCCAATTACTTTTGATAAAGTGTTGCTTGTGGGCTTGTGTATCAAAATAATTAAATTTTGGAACCAGTAACGAAATTTTCAAATATCCAAGCCAGAGATTCAGGCTAAAGCACATCATGATTAAAAAACCTTTATGTTGGGTTTTTAATCATGATGTGTTTTAAAGTCAGGTGGAAAATCAGAAATCACTATATCGGATATATAGGAGCTAGAGGAAGGTCTGGGCTGATTACACTAACTTTTGACTCTACTCAAGTATACTCGAGTACATTTTTCCACGCAATTTTATGAAGATAACTCACACACTGATCGACATATTCGGCATAAAGCCTAAAATAACGAAAATCATTATGTGTAGTATAGAAGAGCTGGAATAATTCGTTGACCGATTTCACATAATTCGGCATTAAACTATATACATATCCCCCATTATACGTTTCGTTAACTTTGCAATAATCAATGAAATTAATTTAGATACTTTACAATTGAACCATACGGGATATTAAGTTACCGGAAGTTTGAAAATGCTTATATTATTTTTGGTGTATAGGGCTAAGAAAAGTACTAGCCAGATTTCAAACGCTTTCACAAGACAGTTTATTTTCATACGAAGATGTTCTCCGAATTTCATTAAGATAATCCACAGTTTGAACGATGTACCTACCATATGTATAGTCAGTGATAGACAGTAAGGTCCACATATTGGCTTGAAAATTCATAGTATGAATTTTGCCATTTCGGAATAGATGATGGCATACCTTATACAAAGTAGGGATGCTTGTAACCCGATTTAATCCATTTTCAAGCAGTATGAAAAAATGCTGCAAAAAAAACTTAAAAACTGCAGATGCCACTCCTTACTTCGATGTACCATATCAAATTTTTGTAACTTAATTTACGGCTTAGTTATAGCACTTTTTAAGTTTCCATTGAAGGGCATTTTGTGGGCGTGGCAATAGCGCACTTGTACCAATTTTCATCGAGATATATTCACTTGTACTGAATATCGCTTGTGCGGACACATGGATGGTCGGACAGACGACAGTCACATGAAATTTAATCCGCCTCGTCATCCCGATCGTTTCAGCATCTACATAAAGAGAAAAGATTTGTCTGTATGTTTATAATGAATAAACTCAAAAACTGCTGTGCCGATTTCAAAAATCGCTTAACCATTGGAAAGCCACATTCACTCTGAATAACATAGGCTATATTTATTGCTAGAAAAGATTAGGAATCCTTACGCAAACTGAAGTAACGTAACCCAAGATGTAAAAATAGAATGCCCTAAACCGTCTTTCGCCGCATGCGCTGCGAAAACTATAGATGATTGAACAAAAGTATGTTCTACAATATTAAAGAACATATCAATTATATCGAGCACGGTCTTTCAAATTTTTATTATCACTATCCAATTTGAGTATACTTGTGTAAGGATTTTTATCCATTGCGAATACCAAAATACACAAAATAACATAATCGCTAATTCCATTTACTATATTGAGTATACCATAATTTAAGATGGCGTGATCGGGTCTTCTTTAGTACATATATAAAATTCTATGTCTATCTCGATTGGTTTAAGGTGTAGCAACATGTTTCGAGCATAAAAATATCCTGACCGAATTCAGTATTCATCATTGGACGAACTACTTTAGTTCATTTTGGTATTTTGGTTATGATATTCCACTTAATAACCAAAATATATACTTCAAAAACAATTCGCAAACGGTGATTAGTATATTTTCCATATGGGAGGTAAAGGTACCAAGTACAGTTTTGGTGTCAAGTCACAGTACATCCCCTGAGATACCGACCGCTATACACGGAAGTAGGTGTAGGGGAGGATGGCACAATTTGGTGAAAAATTTGATATATAAAATTTCTGGCAGAGCGAGTTGTGTCACATCTATTTCCCTAGTTTTTATATGATCTTCGTGTCTTATGTATGTATCGTTATTTCCCTACTTTTTTCATTCTGGAAGTACCAAAGATTCCCATACTTCTGTTGAACAGTGTCTCTGTTTCGTCCTCAATTGCCTATCGGGTTTAACCGCTAAGTGGCGCATTAATCTATTTAGGATTATATACTCACCATGGATTCCCGCAACAGTTGGGTATACGTAACCGGAACGGCCATGTGAACTCGACAGCTTTACTTTATTTTAAAAAGCACTTTAGTATTGAATTGTAATTAAACAAAATGTTTTCAAAATTGGAAATTAGTATTTTAAGCCTTCCTATCTGTCTTTCGTTATCAACTAAGTCGTTGGGTATGTATTTATGTTTGTGTATGTATTGCATTACCCATGAAAAGATTCAAATTGAATATTTTTGATGTTATACATACTCAAAACATTTTACCATACGAGCGCTGTTAGTTTTGTTTACAGTAACTTAAAATATTCATCTCGACCAAAAAATGGAATTTAATCGCGAACATTTTCGCGCGATTATTTTTTACAACTTTCAACAGGGCATCGATGAACTTAATTCAATTTTTGGCGATGAAGTTCAGTATTTATCGATGATATGTTGAATTCAATCGAGGTCGTAGATCACTCCAAGACGTATTTCGTGAAGGTCATTCAAAATCAGTTGTTGTATCGAAAACTAATGATTCTGTGCGCAACCTAATATTGCAAAATCGGCATGTGCCCCATTGTGAGATTGAGACAACTACCAGCATACATTCAATATTGCATAAACAACGTCCGAAAGTAAACAGCAGTGGACGATATGGGTGTTTCCAGATGAGCCCAAGCAAAAAAAGTTGTTGGTGTACGAAGTGCCGCCAAACAAATGGTTACAGGAAGATGTTCATATGTATTTTTGCAACTTTGTATTCTCTTATTATACTAGTGCATACTATTATATAGGTTGAAATTTATTGTATTTAGAATATACAACTAAATTTTTGTAAAATTTAAAACTACTTAGTATTATAATGACATACACTAATATGTTATGTACCGAAAAAAAGTCAACAACAAAAACATTTAGACAAAAATCGCATACGAAAAAATTAGTTCTTTAAATAATGAAAAATTTCTATACCCATTGGAACATCTAACATTTTCAGGCAATATTATAGTGCCTGTAATTTTAGTTACTCGCATATGGACAACGTGATAAAACTTAATACTATTACTTCTTATTTTTAATTTTGTGTTTGAATTTTTATAAAAAAAAGTATAATCAACATGAGGCAAATATTTCTTTATTATTACAAAATTACAAATATTCTTAACTCACCAACATTTGAGAAAAATGAAAATTATTTACAGAAATGCTTGTAAATTATTTCCTATATAAAATTATAAATTAGGGCGCACAGACAGTATTCTTTGCAGCTTCATAGACATTCTGTTTCCACACGCGAAAATTCACCACATTTGGATCAAGTGTAGAATAAATAAATATCGGCATTGAATTGGTCATCACCCAGATGTTGTCTTCATCATCAATCTACGAATAATATTATATAAGACATGTAAGGAAGAGATAAAAGAAAGAAACAATTAACACTCTCTCAAAACGTAAGAAAGTGACATGAATGAAATATTTCTGCAAAATCAGCATTCGTTATTAAGGAACTACTCAAAATGGCGTACAACAGGGAGTCTTTTTGGGGGTCCTATTTTAAGATTATGCACACAAGGCGGTGGTGAAATGTTATCCACCAAAATTGCTTCAAATTAATAAAGTAGTTTAAGATATATAATTGTAAACACAAATGGGTGGTGGCACTGATTGTAAAAGTTTTGATTTTATTCGCATGCAGTACATATAGTTTTTTTTAATTGTTCGTTTATAGCATTATGGAGCTATACAACTCTTGATAGTTTTGAACTAATACCATGTCCACTCTGTAAATGTATAGCACATTCCGATTCCGTCCATTTGAAATAACAATCGTCCTAGACGGCCACAGAACATGTGTACCAAGTTTAATTAAGCTATTTCAACCCTTACTCAAACGGACAGTTGTAGCTCGATATTTTAAGGTGCTACTAACCAAAGTTAGGTGAACAGCATGCTTGCGAGAACATACTATAACTATATAAACTTCAGCTTACCGTCAAATCACTGGGATATATCATACGTTGAGCATCCTGTGCCACTGTACCATGATTTTGTGCGGAAAATGGTTTATTTGTATTCCAACAACCAACACCGTTACGTTGTATTTCCGCATAAAAAATAATATCGCTCCTTAGATCATAAGAATGCATAGTGGATTGTCGATTGCCTCCACGACTACCCAATGGATGAAAATCGTTGCCATGATCGCTACGTGCGGCATTAGCCTCATTCTGCAGCACGCTACTGTCCACCGCGAATTCCGTATTGCTAGCCATCGGATGGAAGTACACCGTACGATAGCCGTCCGATGCATATGGACCAAGTGTTATCGAGAAGATACCGTCATCCCACCGGAAGGTTTGACCACCGATTTGCAGATCACCAGCCAGTGGATCGAAGTTAAAGTAATTATGGCTGAAGCCCCACATACGGTTATCATCTAGACTGTGTATTGAGATATAAAGAATATTAAAAATTAATTTACGAAATTCTATTTTTATACAAACTCAATGATATCGATTTACGATTACCTAAAAACGTATAACTGTCGGTTCACCAGATCGGGTATGTAGGCGAAGGCTTCGTTGCATGCTCGCTCAAAAACATCTACAGTTATGCTTGCTAGTCCCCGACCTGTGTCTACTATATTTTCCGGTATTTCATAGCGATGCAATACCCGATTGTTCGACAAATCAATCACCCAAATTGCCGGTTGCTGCACCTGCATGCGATTGTCTGGAGAATAGATCATGAAGAATTCAAAAATATATAAAGAAAATCAGTTAAACTTACTGGGATACTCAAGCATGCCCGTATCGATGAACCACAAGCGTTTGCATGCATCCACCGTGGTGCGATAAACCGAAATAATGCGTTTGGGATTTGCAGGAAAATTTGGCTGAAAAATATTTGGGCACAGATAAATAATGCAATAATTACTTGGAATGTGAAGTTCAACACTCACATTTAGATAGTTTGTTTCGAAATCGGGATATGCATGCAGTTTCGGACTATATTGTTTGCCATCGTTCTGTAAGTCGATATAATTCAAGGTGGACGGTATACCGATACGACGTCGCGGCATTGTAATAAATAATCGGCCCTTGTAGTGTGTCACGCCCATGGGTACATTATTGTATGGAATGTAAGAAACGTTTGCGTCTTCAATTTGTAACCGATTTTCGATATTGATCAATGGGTCATCGCGAGATGTTATTCGCTTATCGGTTGCACGTTTGCTTCTTTTATCACTTTCAAGCAAACCATGTAGTTGATCGGGGAACACGATTGTACCGGCTGCAAATTTTATTTATATGAAGGGTTATTAGGTTTGAAAAATCATATGTAATTGATGACTTCAACATATTCTCATGCGACGACCATACGGCAAGTCCTGGCCCTTCGCATAGTTTGTTTCGCGTGTCAGACTGAAATACATACGTCGGAACATAACATGCGTCAGGTTCAACTCCTGCTCTGGTGGAAATTTGCAATTTTAAGCCATCATATTTAACATTTGTTATCACCTAAGTCGTAGGCTATATGTATGTAGGTAAATATTTATTTATGTATGTATTGCATCGAGCATGAAGCGACTCGAACGTGTATTATATTAAACATTTGAGTTGCTCGATCGCTTTGAATCTTGATAGATGATTTCATATCACTTTATTATTTTACTTGAAGGTACATACATATGTATGTAACATTGTAACTGCATTCTTGTTAATTGTATAATAATAAATTCTTGTAATAGAATGCAATTCATTGGTAATAATTATTTTGAAATTATTTTGCTTACATGGCGGTCGATTTTGATGTCCATCTCCTACAGCACCACCTATGTTTCCGTTATCGTTCGGAACTCTATCGCCACGATTGTAAAAATCCATTTGTTTCCAGCCAAAAACCTCTATCATGCCATCACCGTTAGCAAATTGTATGATATTCACCGTAAATTCCACGAAAATCAGTAAATATATATTTTTTAATTTCATATTTCTATACTTTTAAGACTTGAAACGTCTTTGCTGATCGACACTAAATTGAGAACTAAAAGCGCCAATGTTATTAAGAAATCAATCAATGTCGCTCTCTCGAAAAACCTCTACCAATAATATTTACAAATATCTATCTATTTATTAATCAGTGGATTTTCATAAGTACAATGTACATATGTATGGTATGTATGCAATTTACTATCATCTCCAGCATCAACTTTCGGCATTTCAGGTCTCAAACGTTGATCGTTCGCACGAATTCCATATTCTATTTGCAAAGCTATGTAATTAAAGCCGAAGTGTATATACAAACATATAGGTATGTATGTAGATATGTACATATATTATAAAATCATATGTTGATAAGATGCACAAGTGGGAAGTGACGAGTTGTGCCGGATGTGATTGAAAACCGGTTTTTTAAATGTGCTTTCTATGCCAACTTTTTCGCAATATTCTTAAATACATATGTTATTTTTGTGTTATACCACACATACTTACCTCTGTAAAAGCCATACATATGCATGTAGGTATATCAGTCAATGATACAATATTTGAGAAAATATGCAAAGTTAATAAGAAACAGAGACAGTCCCATTTGCATTCCGAGCTCTCTGCGGAATTTTTTTGTAATAGCACAACGCTGCAGCTTTAGGTAGCTAAGACTGTAGACTTCTCAAAAGACCGCTTTAGGTGTCGCGTTTGCTCACACCAGACAACAGGCGCAACCAAGAGACCATTTAGGACCTAGCGAACCAGCTCCGAAGCAAACAAAGACTGTCCTATCATTTGGAAGGTTACTCTGTTGGCCATGCTATATCCAACCCCAAAAAAAGAAGAACGAAATGTGACTCCTTTAATGGTACTAGAAGTTGATAGAAAAAAACAAGTGCTTATGATTGTCCGTCCTTGAATCAGATAATTTGGCACGTACTTTGTAAAATAGCTAAGCTAATGAATCACATCTCCAATTAATTCTAGTATTTTTTTGTAGAACAACACATAGCCAGAGAATGTTAATGAATTCATTCTCTGACATAGCCCAGGTCAAATTGGAGTTTCTAATGATCATTGTTTCTTGAAATTTTATGACTTCAATTAGCAATAAATACTAAATGTATATTGAATAATGTTACACCTAAATATTTTCTTCGCAATATAGGGCGAAATCATTAGAATTATAACTTTAATGTTTTAACGGAAAATTTAAAAGTTTAAACAAATTCAGTGTTGCCAAACTTTGCCGCAAGTATACCAGAGAATGTAGATTATATTTTACATTCTCTGAGTATACTACAGTTCTCTGAAAAAACTAACATTCCTTCTCTTATTTAGCATATGTAAAGCTGCTTAGAATTAGTGACTTCATAATTTTTGTACTTTTTTTATATTTACTTATTACATGTTTTTAACTGGCAATTTAGATTTTTAAAAATTTAATTGAATTATATATTATTATATTTACCGAATCATGCAACTCTGCAGAAAACAAAGCTCACTGCAACTCTCACGAACGATATTAAACGACGAATAGAGAACGAAGCGCAGAACGAGGAAATTTCATACATCCGTGGAAAAAGGGAAAATTAAACAAAAGGACATTATACAAGTGCATAAAATAATTAAAATAATAAAATTTATAATATTTTGCTTTAATTTAGTTTTATAAAGAAGTGAAAAGTGTTTGGATATTGCAAAAAAGCAACAAAGAAGTAAACTCGCTCAGAGCAACTTAGATTTGTGGCTGCGGCAACCGAGTGAAAGTGTCGCGGAAATTCTGGGCTCCGTCTGCCCGCACCGCTCTGCGCCGTTTTTATGCGCTTTGTTGGGCTCTGCTGCTGGACACAAGTTTGCAGCGAACGTTTTTGCAAACGCAAAAAACGAAAAATGCACTTAGCGAATGAAGTAAATAGAAAATAACAGAAAAGGTGGACAAAATAGAGCCAAACATTGTGAAAAACACGGATGGTGGAAAATACGGAAATAAAGTAGCGAATACCAACCGAACAAGTTAACGAATAACTGGCGCGTGCAACTACACTCAGTATTGCCTTAAATCGAAAATATATACATAGTTTTGTGATAAATTAGACAAATTCTATGTCTAAAATATATACATCCAATAAGAAAAGTAATTGAGTTGATAGCATAAAGTCTTTAAATGCGACCTCGTCCGTTTTCTACGTCACATCGTGGTGCTTGCAAGTGCGAGCGCGAAAGATCGCCATCATTGTAGATGTCGCAGGTACTGCAGCGTCATCAAGTCAATTGAAACAAAATTGTGCTGGTGCAGTTGTATTTCAACTGCATTAATAAGCACATATTTGAGTACAACTAATGGAATCAAGAAAGGCAAAAGATTTACGAGTGCGCGTACGACGCATTAAAGTAAACTCTTCCACCTGCAACTCTAGCACTGCCCCAATAGCAGATGCTGTATTTACTTCAAGTAAGACGGAAGTTACTGACGAGATGGAAACGGAAACTCCATGTACCAGCAAGAGCACGTTGGTGCCATCTAATAGATCATCGCCTTCAACCTCTGATGGCGACGATTTCGCTACCGTGCATTTTAAGTTAGCAGCCGCATTAGAAGCAGCTGCAGCGCATGCCACTGGTGGTGGTGGGGGTGCACATCTTCTTGATTGGCAAAGCATGAAGTCTGCGCTATTAGCTGAAGCTAAACCTACTTTCAAGCTTAAAAGCCGTAGCAATGAGAAGACAGAAGATAATGAAACCGAACCACAAAGCTCTGATGCAGAACACCAAGATTCTGCTACAGAGGAGACGCGATTGAGCGGTGTGCTATTAAAGGCGCGACAAGATAGTGATAGCAGCAGTACTAGTTCCAGTGACGAAGACGACGATGTGCCTGAAATACTTCTGCTATCGCCAAAACCAAATCTAGATACCATGGACACTGATCGTTCAATGTTATTATCAAAACTGCCGTTTTCGGATCCTGGTGTGTCGGTGGTGGATGATAAGAATCCAACTGCAGCTTTATCAAAGATACTCTCTCTGCCACCATTTGATCCACATGCACCACATCTGCTAGTGCAATTAATTATTAAAAATGTTGTTTCGCTAACGCAATTGAGTCAGCGGGAAGACAATGTAATAGAGGTGGACATTAAGAAAAGCCTTATAGCAGAATTAGCAGTTAGCAAGAAGCATCGCACTCTTAGTCCATTCATGGTAAAGTTACTTGGGAAAAAGATTTTAACTTTATATATACCAATGAATTTTTCTTTTTTTTTTGCTTATATGAAGGATGCATCCAACATACATGTAAAGCACAATAACGATGAGTTCTTTACATTTTGTTCATGCAAAAATTGCTTGAAATATCGTGAAATTGTCATACATATAATGGTAGAGCAATTTAAAACGGCGCACATGGTAGTCATGTTACTGGATGTGCTTATAAAGGCGTACGGGCCAATGCTAAAGTAAGCAATCATGTTTCAAAAATCAAAAATTTATGACTCAATATAACTTTATGATATCAATATTTACAGAAATCGGACCGCTTACAATAAGTTTGAAAAACTTTTGGACGCTAATAAGGAGATCTACTGGATAGCGTGTGGTTTTGTCTACAATAAAAAGGCTGAGCATATGGATTTCATATACGATGACTCCTTGTCAGATAATATGATTTTTGTGCTTTTTAGTTCCATGTGAGTGTTAAAAAACTTATATCAGCTTGTTTTTTTAACTTAAATACTTTATTCCAGACTAATGGTAAACAACCCTCTGCTATTGCTGCAAATATTAGCCTTTCACGTGGAGTGTATCGTTAAGGCGTATGCGGAAGGTTTTATCGAAATTGTTGAACCTGACAACAATAAAATACCTGCTGAGGAAATGTTAACGTGTACGTGTACATACATACTGAATAAATGAATAATATGTGTTGATATACATTTACTTTTATAGATATTTTGGATGGCTATGACGACTTGTGTCGCATATCGGAACAAATTTCAAGCTATTTGTTTGCATTCGAAAACGATTTTCTACGCAAATTCAACCTAACATGGACATTGCTGTGTCAACGCCTATATCAGCTACATGTCTACTCTAATCTCACTGATACCATGTTGGCTTGTATTATTACTGTAAGTGTAGTGTTTATTTGAATTCACAAAATTCGTATTTAATTATTTTAATTGTTTTAGTTAAAAGAGGACGAACTAACCTCGAGACATGCGTCACTCATTAAAAAGTACATTCAGTTCGATGATAAAATGACATGTGTTGAAAAACGTTGGGCAGATGTTTGGAATGAACTTAACAAATTTAATTTGTCGGAAGCGGAACGCAAACGCCGAAAATGTCTACTAAATGTCCATCGCATATTCGATACTGTTGTACAGGATGCAATAGCCTTCTCGTTGCAAGAATTCGATGATGACAATGATTTTTACGACTTTCAATGTTTGGAAAATCGGCGGTTAGCCTGGCAAAATATAATGGCATATACGAAAATGAAATGGCCGGATGGATTTTTCAAACCACCAAATACTTTGGTGTGCGACGACAAGTGCAAGAAATGCAATGTGCTGTTGGAATATCATACAGAGTGAGCTAATGGGCTTATATTCAGAAATACTATTTATATGCACCTGGGTAGTAAATTGTAGTGAAAAAGTAGGGAAATTTATATATGGGAAACTTTTTAATTTGAAATTGCCTAAGGTAGCCTTATAATTTCCGAACAAATTGTTCAGATTGAATCACTATAGATGCCATACAAACCGACTGACAAAAAACAACGGATCAAAATCAAAATAAAGATCTTTTTTACCCTTTTGGGCCATAAAAAAATGCACCTGTGAAGGGTATTAGTGTCGGTGCTGCCAAAATTTATGTTTTTTCGCGTTTTTGTTTACTTTTATTTTAATTTTATTTTACTTTTCAGATTACTACTTTTTATTCGAACATTATCTATCTGTTCATTCTAAAATATAATCATTAATTTTTCATTTAGGAATTGTAAGTGTATTACATGCTCTATAGCCGGAGGACCATTGCCACCCCGACGCAACTCCGATAACACCTGCTACAAGTGTATGGCGCAATCTCTAATCGAAAAGGAAGTTAATCTGTACGAGTCGAAAATTTTAAATGTTTGCACAAGTGATGATTTTCTATCATTTGTGAGAAGTAATAGCAAACGTAAAGGTTCCACACAAGATGAGCTGGGTGATGAAGTTTGC